AAACAATTCAAAGGATCAATGAAACAAAGAGCTGGTTTTTTGAAAACATAAACAAGATTGATGGACCCTTAGCTAGACTCACCAAGAAACAAAGAGAGAGAACCTAAATACACAAAATCAGAGATGAAAGAGAACAAGTAACAGCCAACACCACGGAAATACAAAAGATCATTAACAACTACTGTGAACAATTATATGGCAACAAATTCGACAATCTAAGCGAAATGGACAAATTTCTAGAAACACACAGGCTCCCAAAACTATTCCCGGAAGAGATAGAAAACTTGAACAGACCAATAACAACTAAGGAAATTGAAGAGGTAATCAAGACTCTCCCAGCAAACAAAAGCCCAGGCCCAGATGGCTTCACGGGGGAGTTTTACCGAACATTCAAAAAAGAACTAACACCCATTCTCCTCAAACTATTTCAAAAAATTCAAAAAGAAGGAAGACTTCCAAACATGTTCTATGAGGCCAGCATAATTCTAATTCCAAAACCAGAAAAAGACACTACGAAGAAAGAAAACTACAGGCCAATATCCCTGATGAACATAGACGCCAAAATCCTCAACAAAATATTAGCAAATCGGATCCAGAAATACATCAAAAAAATTATTCACCATGACCAAGTGGGATTCATCCCAGGGATGCAAGGCTGGTACAATATTTGCAAATCAATAAACGTGATACATCACATAAACAAAATGAAGAATAAAAACCACATGATCATATCAATAGATACTGAAAAAGCCTTCGACAAAATCCAGCATTCATTTCTGATAGAAACGCTCAGCAATGTGGGAATAGAGGGATCATATCTCGACATAATAAAGGCCATATATAAAAGACCTACAGCCAACATCATACTCAATGGACAAAAACTAAAAGCATTTCCCTTAAGAACAGGAACAAGACAAGGATGCCCACTTTCGCCACTCTTATTTAACATATTACTGGAAGTCTTAGCCACAGCAATCTGACAGGAAGAAAAAATAAAAGGGATCCAAATTGGAAAGGAGGAAGTGAAACTGTCTATATTTGCAGATGACATGATACTATACGTAGAAAACCCCAAAGATTCCATCAAAAATGTATTAGACTTAATAAGTGAATTTGGCAAAATAGCAGGATACAAAATTAACGTCTAGTAATCGATGGCATTCTTATACACCAATGATGAACTCACAGAAAGAGAAACTAAGAAAACAATCCCATTTACCATTGCGGCAAAAAAATTAAGATACCTAGGAATAAACTTAACCAAAGAAGTAAAGGACCTATTTGCAGAAAACTACAGGTCATTGAAAAAAGAAATAGAGAAAGATATAAAAAAGTGGAAGCACATACCCTGTTCATGGATTGGGATAATTAACATCATTAAAGTGTCCATATTATCCAAAGCAATCTATAGATTCAATGCAATCCCCATCAAAATACCAGCGGCATACTTCACAGAATTAGAACAAGTATTTCAAAAGTTTATATGGAACCAAAAAAGACCTTGAATAGCCACAGCAATCTTGAAAAGGAAGAACAAAGTTGGAGGGATCATATTACCAAATATCAGGTTATACTACAAAGCTACCATAATCAAAACAGCCTGGTACAAGAACATGTCTATAGACTAGTGGAACAGAACAGAAAACCCAGAAATGGACCCAAGGCAATATGCTCAATTAATATTTGACAAAGGTGGCAAGATCATACAGTGGGGTAAGGACAGCCTCTTTAATAAATGGTGCTGGGAAAATTGGACAGCTACTTGCAGAACAATGAAACTAGAGCATCAACTTACAAACTACACAAGAATAAACTCAAAATGGATCAAAGATTTAAATGTGACTCATGAATCCATAAAAATCCTAGAAGAAACTGTAGGCAACAAAATTTCAGACATCATACACAGCAGCATTTTTACTGATACATCACCTAAGGCAATAGAAACAAAGGAGAAAATGAACACACGGGACTACATCAAACTCAAATGCTTCTGTACAGTGAAAGATACTATCATCAAAACGAAAAGGCTACCCACTGTATGGGAGAGCATAATTGCCAATGATATATCAGATAAGGGGTTAATTTCAAATATATATAGAGTGTTCATACAACTCCACAAAAGAAAGACAAAGAACCCAATTAAAAAATGGGCAGAGGAACTAAATAGACATCTCTCCAAACAGGACATACAAATGGCTAAGAGACATATGAAGAAATGCTCATTATCACTAATCATCAGAAAGATGCAAATTAAAACAACAATGAGGTATCACCTCACACCTGTCAGAATGGCCGCCATCAACAAATCATCAAACAACAAGTGTTGGCGAGGGTGTGGAGAAAAGGGGACTCTAATACACTGCTGGTGGGAATGCAGACTGATGCAGCCGCTATGGAAAACAATATGGTGCTACCTCAAAAAATTAAAAATTGAACTTCCATTTGACCCAGTGATCCCACTGCTGGGAATATTACCCTAAGAAGCCTGAAACACCAATCAGGAAGAATATATGTACCCCCATGTTCATATCAGCACTATTTACAATAGCTAAGATCTGGAAATAGCCCAAGTGTCCACCAGTAGACGAATGGATAAAAAAGCTGTGGTACATATACACAATGGAATACTATGCAGCGGTAAGAAAGAAAGATCTCTTATCCTTTGAGACGACATGGAGGGACCTGGAAAGTATTATCCTAAGTGAAAGAAGCCAAGCAGAGAAAGACAAATACCACATGATCTCACTTAATACGGAATATAATGAACATAACAGTCTGAGGAATACAGTAGACCCAGAAACATGGAAGTAGGGCACAGACTGACATCCCTCAGAAGAGGGGATGGGGGGTGGGGGGGTGGGAAGAGATAAACCACAGAAGTTATATGCATGTATGCATGACCAATGGACATGGACAACTAAGCCGGGGATGGGGCGGTGGTGGGGTGGGGGGTGCCAATGGGGTAAGAAGGTAAAATATCTGTAACAAAAAAATAAATAAAAAATTAAAAAAAAAAAAGAAAAACTATTTTCATACAACGTGTATGGCATTTATCATACTGACATATATTTTTTGTGTATCTTTTAAAAAATAATTTGTTTCTCAGAACATTGACAAGGTCTTTTTATTTGTTTCATGACTACTATCTATATCTGAAATGACCATAAGTTGATCATGTAATGGTGGTAAATGAGTCTAAGCATTCCTAAATTATTCAGTTGTCTATGACTTAAAATTCTTTATTTCTATAAACAAAAACAATTGAAATAATACAAATAATAAATGTGGAATGGAATAGTCTAGTTCCTCTATGCGATATAGATTCTGTGGAATGTGTTTATCATGTTGGCCCACCAGAGCACATGATAGAGGTGAGGCTTACCTGTTCAAGAAAGGGAGTTGTTCCTACATTCACCATGAAACCTGGGTCAAAAAGTATTCTCAGTGAATCAGCAGTCATGTTTGATGTTGCTGTCATTTCTTCAGATTTAATAATGGCCATATCCAAAATACAGTTCTAATTGGCTTCACTCCTTGGAGGAAGGTAACAATATTTTACCTTCATCATATCTTTGGAAAGGAATAGAATGGAAAATCAAACAGGAGCTCTGATAACAGAGAAAGTAACAATACATTATTTTTAATAGAATTTAAACTTTAGTTTCAGCTACTCAACTAGTACTTATTTTTATCCACAACAATCCAGTACCCTGTCTTCTTCATTGTTAACACGACAGCATGTAGAGCTGCAATAGGTATCTGGCAGGTGTTTGATTAATTTCTGTTGAATGAATCTTAAATGGAGACAGATCTAAAAGGTCTTACACTATGTCATATGATGGTGAAATTCTCGATCATGCTCTAAGCTTTAATCAGAAGTTCTTTGTTTTTTACTGATATTTTGTAGAGCAAAGGAATTTGTTGAAGAAAGATGTAATTCACGTATGTATCCCTTTATTATTTTGTTCAGGAAGCCTTGCCAAGATTCTGAATTTTGATACATGTAATAACCAACACCTCTGTTGCTGTAGAAAAAGGATGATTAATGTTCACTGGGACTCTTTCATACCCAGATCCTTTGTGTCTTCTTTAGGTGTCCTAAGAGAGAATCAATCAATGGACTGTTGCTCCTAACATCTGCTCATGGGGTCTGGAGCACAGTTTCAGCTGCTCTTTTCCAATATCTCTTAGAATAGACTGTGAAAAACTTGCAAATGGGGTCAAAAATAAGTCCAAACTACAGAGAGAAAAAAAAAATGAGAGAGAAATGCAATCTGACTTTATAACATGGGATATTTATTTGTACACAGACTTTTATGAATCCTACTTGAGGGAATAGACCTCTCTTTAGGTACAAATTAGCTACATAAGGTAATTTTCAAACACATCAGTATGCTGTCATTATCTGTGTTCATATATATATATATATATGTATATATATATATATATATATATAAAATAAAAATGATGTGGATTATGAAATCACCTCACCACTCTAAATCTCAGTACTTTGTGTGTAAAATTAAATATTCTCAATAGTAATTTCAGTCTAAAATCTCATTTTAGGTTTCTCATCTCACTAAGATTCATTTTTTATATTAGGGACATTAAAATAGTAAATATGATTTTTTAAACACATTCCACCTGAATATCATGTGGATTGCTGTAGAATTATTTTCAACTTAGTCACTCAGCAATTTATAACCATAATATTGTAACTGTTAAACTTCCTTAGAGATACTGACCTCAAGAGGAATCAGTAGATGGCATTTCTTCTAGCGATGCTTTCTGTGACAGTATACCAGTGTTTTCTAGCCACCAACTCTTTGAACATGGCACTGTTCTACCAAGGAAGAAATGTTCTTACTCTTAATAGCCACAGTAAGTAAGACTATGTGAAAGAGTTTTATAAATGAATCGATCCTTTTCTCCTTTATTTCACAGCACCTGAATGAAAACAGCAGATCTGTGGACAGTTCTCTCCTCAGAAATCATTAATAATGAAGATTTTCCTCTTTTTCTTCATTTTGTTCTTCTTTGGCATCTTCATTCTACCAGGTAACATGAATATTATTGCCAATTGGGTCAGCACTAAAGGGGGAAATGGGGTCAGAATTTTTAAAGTGAATATTATTAACATTGTATTGATACCATCAGCAAGACCACATTATATTTATGTACAGCCTTAGAAGGAGAAAATATCTGAATACATTTTCAGGGACAATACACTAGCAAAGGCCATAATTCACTTTGATTACATGAGATTTTATCTCTCATATATATGATCTCCAATATTGAAATCTAGAGAAATATATATATGTTGTAGGAATAATGCTACAATGGTATACTCAATCCCTGAAATGTTGAAATGTGTGTTTATTCAATATTCAAATTCTACTAAATTTAATATGCTAAAAATTATTTAAAATGGAAGTAGAATGAATTTATGCTTGGAAATTATTTGCTCCACGGAGGTTAAGTGAGGTTAAATGGCTTGCTGAAAGTACAAATTTTATTACATTCATAACTGAGACTAGCCATGCATCTACTCTCAGGGAAATTCTTCTTTATCTTGCTGCTTTCCCTGGATCTCTACAATCTCCGTCATTACTGAGTTTAAAGGAGGTCCACATACAATAAATGTGTTGTATCCCATTCTCTCACGTCCACTCTGCTGTAATAATATTCAAACAAAAACAGCTTTTAGCTGACAGTTTCTCGCCAAAAGTGGACAGGTTAATGAACTTCAATTGATAATGTAACTCATGTAGCTCAAGGAATTGGAGTTAAGTTAAATAAGAATAAGTTTATTCATCATCTTCATAGAAAGTTATCGGAATATGTTCATTAAAATTTCATCTGTTTATAGAAATTTTCTGAGACATTATGTTAATTTCTCTAGATTTCAATATGGGATCATGCTTTTCTTCTTAATAATGACTTGAATGGCTAGCATCTGCTCTGCCTTTTACCCACATTAATGTATTACTCTTTACAATAGCCATATGGGTTAATCTTATTAATAACCAAGATGTTCACTTACATATTCCACTCAATTTAAAAGAAATGTGTACTATGTATGCAACATTTTCTAAAACCTTTTACAGTATATAGGATCATTATATAAAGACAAGTATATTAATGTCCTTATTTCAAAAATATTTTTTTTTCTTATACTTTGACATAGCTTTTTTCTTTTGCAGTGGGCTCTGAACAGCCTACTAAAACTCCTATGCCAACACCAACAGTCGTGTGTAGAGAGAAGCTCGAGGTATTATACTTAAAGACACAAACACTTCAGAAGACACAAAATGAAGAGGAAAGCAATGCAGGTAAAATCAAACAAGTAGAATTTTATCTTGCATGTTTAATTTCAATGAATAAAATATTTTAAATATGTTCTCTGTCCCAGTCCCTATGTATTTAGTTTTTCTTGTCTTTTAGTGTCTATTTTTATGAAGGCTGAATTTTATTTTCAAAATAAGAAAGAAGACTTATTTCAAAGTCATAGGGTCTCATTTTTTTATGAAACTCTATCTAGACAAATGTCATTACTATTCTAAGAGGGAAAATCCTCCAGTCATTGCTCCCAGCACCATTTTCCTTTAAATGTTGTTAGTGTGGTTATACTTAAAAGGCAGACTGCTGACTCAGTTTTCCTCTTAATTTTCTTTTGTCAGTCACACTGTCCATTGTCCATAATCCTGACATCTTTGGATACATAAAAATATATTGTTATAGAGAAAGAGTAATTAAGGTGTTCTTAAAAATTCCAAGGATGGTGTAATTAAGATAACTTGAAGAGGCGGTTGAACAATAAAAGTCCAGACTGGGTATTGGGGACTTATTTAAAAAGAGACTCTTCTTTATTTTAGTATATATATATATATATATATATATATATATATATATATATATATATATCCTTAACTAAATGCTTCTCTTTGTCTTTTAAGTCTTAAGCCAAGGATATGTTTCCATTTATTTTCAGACAGAGTGGAAGAGAGAGAGAGAGAGAGAGAGAGAAACATCATTATGACAGAGACACATGATCACCTCCTGCATGACCCTGACCAGGGCAGGGGACCAAACCACAACCTAGGTACGTGCCCTTGGCCAGATGGAACCCGCGACTCTTAAGTCTGAGGGCCGAGGCTCTAACTGCTGAGCCAAACCAAGCACAGCAGAGAACAGTGGTTACTTTTAAGCAGAGAGAGAGGAGGCTGTGATTTAGTGGGGGGAGTTGTAGAGCTTTAGCAATATTTAATTTCTTATAGTACATAGTAACTCCCTAGATATGTGATTTATAGAAATACATTAAGTTTTGAAAGTAAATTTGTATTTCCTATTATAATACAATAAAATATTTTTAAAAAGAAAAAGTGCAAGAATTAAGGTAACATTGTTCTTCTCTCAGAATGCCATACCCTGGCCGGTTTGGTTCAGCAATTGGAGCATCAGCCTGTGGACCAGAGAGTCCCGGGTTCGGTTCCTGCTAGGGGCACATACCAAAAAAGAAAAAAAGGATGCCTTACCCTTGTAATATGTCACTCTGTTCTTAGGCTTATGCTGAGGTTATTTGATTGATGAGATATACCTGCCCCATCTGACAGTCAGTATTAGGTTTGTGTTATTTTTACTGTTAGTTACAAATAATGTGCAATTTTTAACTAACAGGGCTATTTAGAGTCCTGGCTCCTACCACCAACCTGAAAATCCACCATATTATCAAAGAATACTCAATGATAGTCTGGTCTCAGGGTCTTCATTACCTAAAATGACTGCTGGAAAATGTATCAGTCATATTTCTACTTTATTTAAAGCGGTATGCATATATAAAAACCTCTTTAAAAATATGTTACTAAAAATAGTTTTTAGTAAAAGGGTTGATTAATTGCATAAATAAATTTAATAAAAAATAAAATAAAAAGGTCTTTGAGATGAAAGAAAGCTGATAGATATCAGTGACAAGGGCTCATCCATTCTGGCTCACTGTTTAAAATAGATCCAATAGGTCCTGATTATATTGGTCTAAGTCTAAGACAAGATATTTCATGATCATAATAAAAGCTTTAAATGTTAAAATGTATTTATTATATTGAGTCAAAACCTGGCTCTCCATTGACCTGCACCGTTATTTCTAGCTTTGTTCTGTGGGGACATAGGAAATTAAAAAAAACAAAAACATTTCTTACATTTCAGAACTTCTGTTAGCAGCAAAAACACTTAATATCTAAATCTCTAAGTAATTCTTTATGATTATTGATGTTACACAATCAAAAGAATTACAGTGCAACGTGAGACTGGGAACTTCTTTTTAAGTTTCTATAGCTTTTGAAATCTATGTGTGAGACATAGAAAAAGAGGGGCGGAGGGTAGCACTGAAAAATTAAGAGCCTTTCTGAAATGTTCATCCTTTCTGTTCATTTCCTATTCATCTTGCTAAGTTCCCAAAGTGTCATATATATATATATATATATATATATATATATATATATATATATATATATTTTATTTAGTGAGAAAGGAAGGGAGAGGGAGTGAGAGAGAATCAACCCTGGCATTTGCACAGCAACCTTTGGGGGCCTAATATGATGCTCGACTAACTGAGCCACATAGGCTAGGGTCCATGTCTGTTTTGGGGCATAACTTCTCCTGGGTTGAGGGTGGGGTACAGATCCAAGAAGAATGAAAACCTTTAAATAAAATAACAGAGTATTTTTCAGTATTTTAGAACTGCTGAAGTCAGGATACAATGAACAATGAAATCTTATGGAGGAGGAAAGGATTCACAATAGAACAGAAGTAAGCATAAATATAAACGAGGGAGAAGATGGAGCTTGGCCCACTCATTATTCAATGGTCTTAGGGGATGAACAAGACAGATTGAGGGGGGTATTAATAAATTGCAGGCTCTCCAGGTATCTCTGATTGAGTGACTACCTAATCAATTGAAATGTGTAAGGGTGAGACATCTAGCTTAGGAATTGACTGCATCCTGATTTTCTTGACTTGCTCTGATACAGATAGAGACAGAAAGATTTTAGGGGAAAAAAAAGGTAAAAATTCCTTTCATTTTTCTTCCCTCTGTGGTCTGTGTTTCTTTGTGCTAAATCTTGGCATTTCTTACTTGGATTATTAATTCCATTCATTCTTGCCTTCTTTCAGATTCAAACAAAGAGCTCCTTGTCATTGATCGTTGGGACATATGTAAAAAACTAAGTGGTCAATGTAAAAACCAATGTGGTGATAAAGAATTTAAGATGATATACTGTGAAGTGCCTACAGTTCAGTGCTGCATAAGAGAATGTGACCCTGTGGAGTAATTGAAGAGCGCCATTCACAAAAAGAGGACCAACATGAACTGTTGTTATGTCATTACTTCTCTTACTCCATTCACGGCCTAGTATTTCTGTCCATTTATATCTCTGAAGAATAAAATAAAACGTATTTCAGTCAGAATCATTCATACACATTGAGGCTACTTGTAAGAAAGCTTCATAATACGGAGTGGAGTTTTGAACTCGGGACTAGAAGCAGAGTGAAGAACAAGTCCGTGATGGAACTACTGTGTTAAATGAGATTCTGGGGCCATTTCTATGTATAGTATGCTGCTATAAATATTCATGTGTAGATTTTGGTGTGGACCTAAGTTTTCAACTCCTGTGGGTTAATACCAAGGATCATGGTTGCTGGATTGTATGATAAAATTATGCTTAGTTTTATATGGAACTGCCAAAGTGTCTTAGCCATACCATTTTGCATTCCCACCAGCAATGAATTTGAGTTCCTGTTGATCCCTGTCCTCTTTGGCTTTTGGTGTTGTCAGTGTTCAGTTTTTAGCCCTTTTAATAAGAGTGAGATGGTATCTCATTGTTTTGATAGACATGACATATAATGTAGAACATATGTTTGTATTCTCAGTTTTCCACCTGTGTATCTTCTTTGGTGAGGGGTCTGTAAAGGTCTTTTGCCCATTATTTAATCAGATTATTTGTTTGCCTACCATTGATTTTTAAGTGTTCTTTCTATGTTTTGAATAACAGTTCTTTATTAAATGTCTGTTTTGCAAATATTTTCTCCCAATCTCCAGCTTGTCTTCTCATTCTCTTCACATTGCTTTTCACAGAAATTTTTATTTTATTTTATTTTATTTTTTATTTTAATGAGGTTCAGTTTATTAATTATTTTTTTAATGGAATATGCCTGTGGTATTCAGATATCTAAATTTTCATCACCATTCCCAAGGTCATCTGTGTTTTCTCTTATGTTATCCTCTAGGAGTTTTATATTTTATATTTAGGTCCATGATCCATTTTGAGTTAATTTTTTCGAAGAGTAGAAGCTCTATGTTTAGGTTCATTTGTTTGCTTGTGGATGTCTAACTATTCCATTATAATTTGTTAAAATGACTATCTTTGCTCCATTATATTGCCTTTGCTCCTTTGTCAAAGATTGTTTGGCTATATCTATGTTGATCTACTTAGGTGTTCTCTATTCTATTCCATTGGTCTATCTATCTATTCTTTTGCCAACATCCCTACTGTCTTGGTTACTATAGTTTTATAGCAAGTCTTGACATCAGAGAAGACGCCCTCTAACTTTGTTCTTCTCTTTTAATAGTGAATTGATTATTCTGGGTCTTTTGCTTCTCCAAATAAATTTTAAAATCAATTTTTGGATATCTACAAAATAACTTCCTGGAATTTTTATGGGGATTGCGTTGAATCTATAGAACAAGTTGGGAAAAACTGACATCTTGACAATATTGATTCTTCCTATCCATGAATATGGAATTTATTTAGTTCTTTGGTTTCATTCATCAGAATTTGGTAATTTTCCTAATATTGATATTTTATACATTTTTAAACAAGATTTATACCTAATTAGTTCATTTTGGGGGTAAATGGTATTATTTTTTACTTTTAAAGTTCATTTGTTTCTTATTAGTATATGGGAAAGTGGTTAATTTTTGTATATTAATCTTGTATCTTATAACCTTGCTATAATTTCTATTAGTTCCAAGAGGTTTTGTTTTTGTTTTTGGAGAGGGGGCAGTATACAAGGGGATCCTTTCAGATTTTCTATGTAGATGATCATGTCATCTTGTAGAGTGACAGTTTTATGTCTGCCTTCTTAATCTGTATACTTTTTATTTCCTTTTCTTGTCTTGTTGCATGAGTCAGAATTTCCAATATGTTAAAAAGGGGTGGTAAGAGGGACATCCTTGCCTTATAGGTTATCTTAATGGGAAATCTTCCACTTTCTCATCATTATGATGTTAGCTGTAGAATTTTTGTGGATTTTTAAATCAAATTACAAATGTTCTCTGTTCTTAATTTACTGAGAGTTTTGGTTTTTTTATGAATGAATATTAGATTTTGCCAGATGTGTCTTCATCTAGTTTTGGTATTGGGAGAACATTTTTAAACTGATAATGTCTTTCTATAACAAAACCTACATCAAACAGAGATGTTGAAGTGGGGTACAGACAATCCCCAGAAGAAGGGGTGGTGGGGGAGAGATAAACCACAGAACTTACATGCATGTATACATGAACAATGGACATAGACAAAAAGCTGGGGACAGGGTGGGGAGGGAGGGGGAGGAGGCAATCAGTGGGGGGAAAGGAGAAACATCTGTAACAAAAATAAATTAATTAATTAAATAAAAAAATTATATTTTACAAGAACAAAATAAAAATATCAATTTAACAATACCTTTATACATTATACTTCACCAGTGCTATAATCTAAGAAGAATGACAAATAGTATAAAAAGTGAAAATAAATAAATGAAGCTCTCATTATTCACACACCATATGATTGCATATCTAGAACATTTTTTAATCTATAAACTACTAGCATAAATATATCAATTCAGCATGATCACCAAGTATATTATATTATATATCAGAAATAAATTAAAAATAAAAATTTTAAATAACACTCTTTAGAGTGGCATTACATGTTTAAGAATAATTCTGATAAAAAATGCATCCCATCGTAATGAAAACTATAAAATATTACAGAGAGAAAGTTTAAAGTTTAAATATAATTGAAGGAGTATTACCTACTTATGTATTGGGAGAATTGCATTGTAAATATTTTTTTATTTTCTCCAAATTGATCTACATATTCAAAGAAATTACAGTTAAAATTTCAGCAGGATTCCCCTCAAATTCTCCTTAAACTGACAAAATGTATGGAAAAGCAAAGAGCCGGTTGATATAAATTCATGCTGTTGTATCACACGGAATTTCCTATAACTCTTTGTGCCACAACCTGTGTTAAATCTTTTGATTATGATATTACTAAATGCAAGACTGTAGAGAAAAATTCAATCTTTTGAAAAATCCCTCTTTTTTGGGTCTGTGCTTATCTTTATAAATCTACTTTTCTTTTTGCAGAAATGTCTTTAATAGAGTTTTCTTAGTTTACTCAAAGCTGTAGTAAGGCTTTCTGTCTTAATTGCAGTTGCTATGCACCTTCTATAACTCATTTTTACAATAATCTGTGCCCATTCATTTGGATTTTAAACGTCCATGCATTTGCCTTAAACTTCTAACTCTATCCATTAAACAAGAATATTTATTTTTTAAAATTTATTTTAATAGACAGGCTTTCAGAGCAGTTTTAATTTCACAGCAAAATTGAGAGGAAGGAACAGAGATTTCCCTATGGCCCTGCACCCACACATGCACAGCCTCCCCATTGTCAAGGTCCCTCACTACAGCACATTTGTTGCAACTGATGAATCTACACTGACATATCATTATCACCCCAAATTTATAGTTTACATTAGGGTTCACTCTTGGGGTTGTACATTCTATGGGTTTTGACAAATTTGCAATGACACGTATCCACCATTATGGTATCATTCAGAGTAGTTTCACTGCATTAGAAATCCATGCTATGCCTATTTATCCCTCCCTCACCCCTGGCAACTACTGATATTTTTAGTATTCATCATTTTGCCTTTTCCAAAATGTCATATAGTTGGAATTATACAGTATATAGAGCCTTTTCAGACTGGCTTCCTTCACTCGGTAATATGCATTTAAGGTTCATCCATATCTTTTCATGGCTTAATAGCTCTTCCTTTTTTTTTTTTTTTTTTTTTAAGCACCAAATAATATCCCTTTGTTGTAGTTTATTTATTCATTCACCTACTAAGTTCCATCTTGGTGACTTCCAAGTTCTGGCAATTATGAATAAAGCTACTGTAAACATCTGTGTGCAGGTTTCTGTGTGATACTCTCATGTGCTACCTCTCAATGACTCAATGTTTCATACTCAGCATTTTGCCTTACCATAAGGTGACAGCCGAGAGTAGTGTAGCTGAGATTCCATCTCTCAAAAATCCTGCCCGTGCTGGAAATTGTCCTTTCACTAGTCTGTTCTCCTATCAAGAAATATACAACACTCATGATCTGTCCCATGTTTATTTCTAAATATGTTTTTATTGATTTTTTTTAGAGAGAAAGGAAGAGGGAGAGAAAAACATCGATGTGAGAGAGAAACATCAATTGGTTGCCTCCTGCATGCCCCCTATTGGGGATCAAGCCTAAAACACAGGCATGTTTCCTGACTGCCCTTACCAGGAATTGAACTAGGACCTCTCAGTTTGTGGGATGTCACTCCGACCACTGAGCCACACCAGTCAGACAATATCTGTCTCACTTTTTAAATATTTACTACACTTGCACTCCAGTTAAACCAGGCACTATTGTTTTTTAAACAGTCATTTTACAAGAATAACAGGGGCTATTTGCCTGCTACAAAAAGGCAATCTGATATGGCAAATTTTGTCACAAAATTTAGTGGAATTTTTCCGAGAAAGTGTTTACCTTGATCTGCCTAGGAAGTGGATGGAGTAAGGAGGACCCCTGACCCACAGTATCTTCCCCTACTCCCCAGTGTTCATCTCTGAAATCTTGTATGTCTCTCATACCTCATGTTGGATTCATTCATCCAACCCCTTATTGAGGAAAGGCAGACAGGACAATGTTGAGAAGAAGATAAATAACTTGAGAATTATTGTGTTAAATAAGTTATGCCCTTTGAGAGTGTCATGACTAAATTTTTTTTTATTGAGTTTTCTGAAGAATTCAAGGTCTGTATGAAATATTTCAGCCTTATGAAATAAGAAAATTACTGCAACATGCATGAAACTCTTACAAAGATATGTATAAATGTTGGCTAGTTGAATTTTCATTCCATCTTAAATCTTTTCAAGCAATATGGGTAATTTATTAATCCTCTCTGAACACCAGTGTCTTCCCGAGTGTGTTTCTGGTGTTTCCTTTGTCTCTTCTGATTGCATT